CCCCAGAGCCCCACACGGACTACTTCCATGACGACGTCAACGCAGACCCCAGCACCGGTGGGCAGCGCGTCGCGACAGCATTGATGTACCTGTCAACCCCAGAAGAGGGCGGCGAGACGGTGTTCCCAGAGGCGGACAACCCCCAGGGCACCGGCGCGGCCAGCACCCCGGAGGCCGCCGCCGCTGCGGCGGCGGCACAGGCGGCGCGGTCTGGCTGCGCGTGGCGGGGCCTGGCGGTTCCGGCTGTCAGGGGGGACATGCTGCTGTTCTACTCCCTGAGGCCTGACGGCGAAGTTGACCACTCCAGCCAGCACGGCAGCTGCCCTACAACAAAGGGGGTGAGGGCTCTGGCCGTCTCGGGCGGCCGGTTGGCAACCGCACCTTTTCCTTTTTCACACAGTGTGCCCAGCACTGATGGCCCACACTGGGCTGCTCGGAAACACACACTGATGCCTGTCCCTTTATCTGACTGATCGCTGACGAGTTGCTGCGATCACATGCACGCACATACACACACAATTCTTAGCTGCTGACCTCAGCGATGCTCGTTTAGGGCTTGATGTTTTGCCAATGCTGACACTCCGCCAACCTTTGATCTCACCCACCCTGCGATGTTACCAATAGGAAAAGTGGAGTGCCACTATCTGGGTGCACACTGGGCTTTATCAGGACAGAGATGATGATGGGAAGCTCATACCGCGAAAAGACATACCCCCACAGCCCAGTTGCCACGACAGCAACGACATGTGCTCAGGTGCGTGCCGTTTTTTGCTGGTTTTGCACGTGGTTTTTGCAGTGGTGCAGATTGGCAGAACAGGCACCGTGCGTGGAGGCTGCCGGTGTGTCTGGAGGTTTCACACACCTTGCAGCGGGATGCATGCTCTTCTTGTCAGGGATCAGCCCTCACCACCCCTCAACCTGATGCCATGTGTGCCATCCTTGGCGCCGCGCCGCAGAGTGGGCCTACTTTAACGGTGCGAGGCTGGAGTCCCGGTGACCGCAAAGCGTCGCACGGCGGGGATGCCCTTGTTTTTTGCCCAGCTGCATGGCACATGGAATCCTGCTCTACAGCGTCGAGCTGGTGTCTCAACCGGCCTTGCCTCCACCTCGTGCTCACCCCGTGCCTCACATCACCAATGCATCATCTGACCCGTACATATCCCTGATTCTGCCCTCCCCACGTCCTCCCCAGCCTCAATCCCAACGTTGCGCCCCTGCTGACCACGCTCTCACCGCTACCCCTCCTCCCTCTACTCAACCCCTTAGAGTGCGCCAAGAACCCTGGTTATATGCTGGAGGGCTGCAGACTATCCTGCGGCATATGCAAGCCACAGGGATGGGACGAATACGGCTCAGCCGTTGAGGTGAAACCGCCGCCACCCGTGGAGGAGCTTAAAGCGGCAATCTTGGCCAGGTCAAAAGCGGAGGCCCAGGCCGGGGTGGCAGAGAAGCAGGAGTAAGGGCCTGAACATGCCCACTGTAGTGGCCCATTTGCGCTGTCATGGCAGGGCTGGAATAACTATGTTGCACAGTCAAGTCAGGAGACCGACGTGTGACAATCAACGCGCATTGTACAAAGAATGTATGTATTAAACTGTGAGTCCTGCCAGGAGGTATCATAAACAAGGGTACAGTAAGGGTCAACCGTGATTTTGATGAGGTGTTGCTGTGCGCTACACGCTGTGTGCTAATTCCACATCATGCCTTGGTCTTTGTAAGTCAAATACTGCCGTCAAACAGATTCTTATCCTGGCGGGACACCATCTTGTACTCAGCAGCCACTTTACAGACAGGCAAAACAAAGCAAAAGAGATTTGGCTGCATCCATGTGTGCCAGGCCACCTCCAAGGAGTGCAGGCAGCTGTATCGTCAAAGAGGCTGCAACATATCCCAGGGCATTGACAGCAAAGAAGAACATTGTGTTCCTAGGCAAATGCCAGGAGGATGTGCATCATCTCGTAGAATTGAACAAGTCGCGCAACCAGCCCTGCTGCGTACTCTTGAAAATCTAAATGTTCCCCGCGTCACAACCATGTGCCTTAAACAGCTGCCTCTCCCTCAAACTTACTGCTGCCACCACCCCCGCCTGCGTGATTGACACTCTGCCTGCTGCTGCACCAACAAATACCCTGCCTGCACCTTGGAACGGCTCCCAGCTGCACGGCACGTCAACTCATCAGCACCAAACACCCGCCCAAAACGCAACCGCAACAACGCAGCCAGCGCGCGCTGTGTGTGGAATGCGCTTCATGTGTCAATCACACCCTCAGCAAACGCCTGCCCTTGCGCGACCACTTCAAACATGCGGCGCTTGCGCGCCCCTGCGCGCTGAACGCGTTGCAGCGGCTCGAGTCCAGTTGTGGACTCCACCGCCGCTGCCGCCGCCACCGCCAGGCCCAGCTGGCTATTTCCATTGGAGCACCCGAGCGCAACATCTGCCGCTTGCAGCCCGGCACCCGGGAAGGTCTGGGTCGCTGACGCATTTGCAGGCGCGCTTTGGCCGCCAATCCTTGCCGGCTGCTGTACAGGGACCGGAAGCGCATGCAGGTTCTGCTGCTGCTGCTGCTGCTGCTGCTGCTGCTGCTGCTGCTGCTGCTGCTGCTGCTGATGCAGTGCCAGCCAGATCGCCTGCTGAATGCCAACAACAGCGGCGTCATCGTACCCAGTCGCGGGCGGGACGGCGTGACCCCACGCGGGCATGCTGCTGGGCGGCACCAGCGCTGCCTGGCGGGCGAAGCGCTCTGAGGTGGGCACAGGGAGACACAGAGAGGAGCTGGATACAGGGGGCCCACGGAGCGGGGTGTACGGTGACAGCCACTTTAGAGCCTGCACGGCTGCTGGTGCGCACACCGGGTTGGCGCCAGGCGACATGCCCGCCATGAGCCGCGTTTCAGTCAAGGTTTGCAACCCCGGGTATCTCACCTCCTTCCTTTCCTCCGCCTCGGACAACGCCGTTGGTGGGCCTGTCGCGGCCCTGCTGGCGCCGGTAGATGCCTATTTTGTTTGGAACGGGCAGGTTGTGCAAATGTGAAGCCTAAAAGCCCTCCAGACCAACCTTGCCGTTGGGCTGAGGGTGGGTCCAACATTGTTGTTACCGGTATGTGTTCTTGTCGTCAGCGGGCCGAGCCACTGCCGACATGGCCTGTACTGCTCAGAGAACATAATTCCGCCAGCACCTCCGCTGCATCAATGCCTCACCACATGCGTTGCAGAGCCTCACGGAGCTGTCGGTCGGGTGGCAGCGCCACAGGACACTGAGCTCGACACCGCAGTTGCCACTAAGGCGGGTGGGTGGGTGGGTGGTGTTGGGAAGAGGGGAGGGCGCAACCTTTGTTTCAGGTGAGCAGAGTGCAGCCATCGTTTGCGAGTCTATCAGAAATGGAAGTTGCTTGCCAGGGTCTGCGGTGCAGCGGCAAGCATTGATTGACGCCCATGTGTGTTTCGCAGTCACGGGAACGCACTCTACGCAGGGGGTGCACAGGTTTTGTGGAGCCCGCTTGGAGACAGCACTGGCCACCCTACCCCTGACCTCACCCCCCCTCACCAGGGCCCCTTGAGCGACGGCTTTGGCTCCTTGCTGTTGGGCCGCCCAGACCTGCGCCTCTCAGCGCTCCTGGGGGAATGCGGCAGCGCCTCCACGCTGCGGAGCGCCACATTCACAGCCCGGGCACTGTGTGGTGCTTCCATCTCGCGCTCCAGCTGCCCCACAGCTGCACCTGCCACAGCTGTGGCCCTGGCGGCACCCTCGGGGCCCGTGCGCATGAGCTCATCGCCATCGCTGCCCACGTCGCAGCTCCAGCCCCTGCTGCGGCCCCTCTGGCGCGCCGCCGCGCCGCCACCCCCGCTGCCCTCTGACCCTGGCACATAGTCCTCGTCGCTCTCGTCACCCCCGGCGCCGCCGCAGCGCCGCCTACCCTGAAGCTTGTGCTTCCGCCCGCGGTGCGCCGGCCGCAGGCCAGGACCGCTCGGTGCGCCGGGCGCGGCGGTGCCTGCGGTGGCGAGTGCGCCGCCGTAGAGGGGTCCGTCCGGGGTGGCGTCCCTTGACGTGTCGTCTGAGATCCTCAGGCCTGATGCTGCTGCACGCATCTGTGCCACCAGTGGAGAGCCGGAGTCGGCGGAAGACTGCAGGGACAGCCGGTGCGGCGCGCCGGCGGGCACGCGCAGCGCTGGCAGCTGGCCTTCGCCGACAGCTGCGGCCGCCAGAGTCAGGCCGCCGTTGGTGAGCAGGGTCGTTGAGGGCGAGGCGGCGCGGGACCCCGTGTCACCCCCTGCGCCGGCAGCGCCTGCAGGAGCCCCGCCCCAGCCGCTGGCATGGAACGCGCCCGCCGCAAACGGCAGAGGCACGGCGGCGTGCGGGTTGCGAGCGAACGTGACGCCGCTGCCCAGAAAGGTGCCGGCGCCGCGGTGGCCGGCGTCTGATTTGAGGGGCGATGGTGGCGGCGTGGTGTCTGAGCGCAGGCGCACGAGGCCCTGGGCCGCCAGCTCGGGCGTTGCGTCAGTGCTGCTGCGATGGCGTTGGGCAGTGTCCAGGTCAGATCGATTGCAGAATGGATGGGTGGGGCAGTCATCAGCACATGAGTAGGTTGTGTGAGCCCAGCTCTTCAATTCAGCCCGTTGAGCAAGGCTCGGATCAGCAAGGGCTGTGTGCCTGGGATACCAGGTGTTTCACGCGCCCTTCCCAGCTGTCCCTCCCCTTGCCCTTCCCACCTGTCCTGAGAGCACCGCGCCAGCAGGGCCGCAACAGCCCGGTGCGCCTCTGGGGACGCGATTTCTTCCTGGGCCTCATCCTGCCGCTGCCCGCCCCCCTGCTGCAGCTCCATGCCCAAGCGGCCAGCGCCAGACGGCAGCTGCGTGGGCTGATAATACAAGGCACAGTCGAAGCCCAGCTGCTGCGCTGCGCCGTCAATGCTGCCGTTGCCCGAGACCAGTGGTCCTCTGAGGGCCCCTACGGCCCAGTTGACCTCGTCGCCGCCGACAAAGCCCTCCTCCATGCGGCGAGCGGCCTAGTGTCAGGGTTAGGGGGGTCATGAGAGCAAGATGGGGGCCATGCCCGCAATCTGTATGCGGCGGCGCGCGATGGTGAAAAACTGTGCCACAAGTGCAAGGCTCAGTCAAGCTAGCTGGGCACACACAACAATAGGGGTCAGTACCTCTGCCCACCTTTGGGCGCCACGAGCGGCGGATGGGCGAGCCATCTGGCCCCAGCTCCGTTGCAGCCTGCTGCTCCCAACAGTCATCCTCCTCGCCTGCCCGCTGTCTGGGTTCCTGCACGCCCATGCCGCCGCCCAGTGGCGTGCCGTCCTCCTTCATCGCCTCGGGCCCCTCCTGCGGGTGCGGCAGCGGACCCTCGGCCAGGCCAGCGGCGGCGGCGGCCTCGAGGGTGCGTCGCTCCTCGTCAGCAGCCGCGCGGTCCCTGTCGAGGCGCTCCAGGTGCGCGCGTATCAGCTCTGCCGGGCGGTGGCTATTGTGCTTCTGCAGGTACATCCTGCGGCGAGGGGGCGGCGTTTGGGTTCAGGATGCGGAAAGGGACCATGATGAGGGCGGGAGGGCGGGCAGCACCACGGGGGGCTTTGCCACAGCGTGCGTATGTAGCATGCAGCAGGGGTGGGCGCACAGCTCAAAGGAGGGAGTGCGTGTGCCCGCCCACACAGCGCTGCAGCCATGGTAAGCAGTGTCTGGGGGTTATTCAAGCAGGGCAGGTCCTGCAGCTGCTCGCCATCCTCGGCGCCGCCCTCGAGCACCCCACCGGCGACTCACCCGCACGCGTTGCACAGCTGGAGCGCGGCCCCGTGCCGCCACACACGCGTGTGGCAGGTGCCACAGTTTCCACACATCTGCATCGCGCATGGGAAGGATACGAGAAATCAGAGTTCCCATGCTGCATCATAAAAAAACCCAGCACATCGTGACCACGCACACTGCAGTACCATGCCCTGCCACTGCTGCAAACGCAGCCTCAAGTGCCCTCACCTTGTCCGCGTGGCCAGCAGCCTCCAGCGCCACGTCTTCATCGCCCTCCTCTGCCTGGCCGCCGCTGGGATCCAGCGCAAGCAGGCCCTGAAGGGATGGAGGCATGGGTGCGCATGGGGAGACGGCGCCGTGGTTGGGCAGCGTCCCACTGGGTGCGCTGCGTTTCCTCTTGTGAGCTGCCATCAAGAGCAGGAGCTATTGCTTGCGTTCGACCCAGTGGCGTGAAGGCGGTGATGCCTTGAGCGAGCATTGATGATGTACAGCTGGAAGCCACTTGCAGCCCTGACGTGGAACCAGAGCCCTCACCGGCTCGCACGCAGAGACGCACTCCCACCCGACCCCCCCGGTCGCTCCCCCTCACCCGCCAGAGGCCCTGCAGAGGGGTGTCTACCAGGAAGGCAGCACCGAGGTCGATGGCATTGACCAGGGCCGGCGCCCCCACGGCCGCCACCAGCATGTGCGCCAGGTCAGCAGGGGCAGTGCGGCCGCGGTCGTGGGAGGACAGCGCAGCAACAACTCGATTCACTGCACTGTGCTTGGCCCCTGCGCGCATGGTGCACCGCGTTCGAAGGGTTGCAACACGAGCGTGCATCAAGATTTCCAGTCGAGTTGGAGACCGGCTACAAGCTCTGCACCCGGCGGGTCCCAGCTTCTGGGGCTCAACAGAATGCTAGACTAGTCCTCTTGTGCTGCAAGCCAGCCATCGCTTAGCCCTTGCCCGAGTTGACCTGCTTGACCAACTCCCGATCGTGCACACATCAATCACGCACCTGACAAGTAGAGCCTTCTCAGGAACCCCTCACGCCGCCAGCCGCCCACAAGGCTGGCGGGCTGAAACCCGCGAGCCCGCAGCTCGCATAGGCAGCGGCGCGCCCGTGTCGCCGGTGCAAATGCGGCTGCGCAGGCGGCCTCCGTTGTGCTGGCCTGCACCCCAGCCATGTTTTAGGGGATGATAGAGTTCTAAACACTGGGCAGCAGACAGGAGCTTGGTGCTGTGGTGTGGTGGGCACGCACCCTCTGCTTGCTTGCAAACACATACACAGCTGCGTGTTGCGCAGCACGCACGTGCTGCCTACGAGCTGCCGCAGCGCACGCGCACCTGCTTCCCCGGAACCAGTTGCACGATGGAGTCCCAATCATCTTCAAAGAAGAGCGCCCCGATCACAACCGCCTTGAGTTCGTGCGGGGTCCAGGAGGCTGCTTGCCCTACCCCAGGCTCCGCAGAAGTGCTCATCGCAAACTACTTGAAACCAGAGATACCGAATTTATATATATACACAACAATCGGGCTGTGAGGCCGCACGAGCGGTCTTTAGTACCGGAGAGAGCATGCACTTCAGCGTTTTGCTGCGATGAGAGTGAAAGAAAACGTCAAATGGTGACTCAAAACCCTGTACAACGATACATAATGCTGCAATGGCCTGGGTGAACAAGTTCAAAGTGAAACCGTGGAAATCGAAAGAGCAGTCGGCCATCACATGGCATCACGGGACCAACACGTACGAAAAGAACCCCCATATGTCTCAATTTTGATTCAGGTGTGTCACTAGGCCTGCTGCATGTCGGCGGCCACCTGTGCACACCCACGAGGGGTTTCACCCTCCAGCGGCTCACCCTCCAGCGCGGGATGTGGCAGGCAGCATGATCACGGCAGTGTGCAGCCAGCACAGCATTGTGAGAATCACGTGCTTCACCAAACTTGAACAGGTGCAGACGTACTCGAACTTGTCCCATCTGCACGCTGTGCGTGCAGGTTGGAGCAAGTCCTTTCAATCCTGCGTTTCCATTTAATACTCAGCAGGTGGGCAATGCAGGTGCTGCATTGCGTTTGCACAACAATATAATTTATTGCCATCCACTTGCCACACCATCGCGGTTGTATTTGTGAAAATTGTGTCCTCGAAGCGGTTATGCTGCGCAACCCAGCAGTCCACAGTCCACGTGAACATGACGGCAAGTGCATGCTGACATCTCGTACAGCATGCTGTATGATTCATGCATGTAGAAACCCAAGGTATGGCTGCATCTTGGATCAAGCGCAAGTAAAGCTACGCCATGAACGCTGCGGCGCACAGTACTGTGCGCTGCGCACGATGTGGCGGCCGCGTCACCCCAGCCGTCACCTGAGCTGTGGCAGGAAGCTTCTCAACGAGGACTGCAGCGACAGGTTTTCGAATGAATGAATTGAAAGCCTGACGCCAGCTTTGCAAGGCTCATGTGCGTGATCAAGCAGTGTCACCTGAGAGCAAAAGCAGATGATCTGAGGCAGGCAGCATCGGCGGAATGATACCTCCGCGTCCCCCTTACCACCCTGGCATGCAGGTGCGTGCCCTCTCAGCGCAGCATCGTTCGGTCTCGTGCCGTTCAAGGTGTCGGGTGCCTCACTGAGCGCTTGGCACACCGCGTTTGCAGGCACAGGGTGGCCAGGGACAGCCTGCCAGCCAAGCAGCCACATGGTGAGCTCCGGCTATGGGGAGGGTGCCCGCGAAGGCGGCGGCCGCTGCACGACCTGCCGTGACGAGCTTGGCTGATTGCTGTCGCCGGCGGCTTCTTGTGGGGCTTGGGTTGAAATGATCGAGCTCATGTGGGCATGCACATAAACACAAGTCTCATGCATGTGCCGCTGCGATCCTGCGGCGTCCGCACCTCTGCAGGGGGGCTAATGCTTGGCAGGCGGGCACTGGGTTCGGCGCCCAGCCCACCGGCTTCGGTGCGCCGGCCACCGGCTTTGGCGCCCAGCCCGCTGCGCAGCAGCACCAGGCCGCTGCTGCCGCGCAGCAACAGCAGATGCAGGCGGCGGCTGCAGCGCAGCAGATGCAGGCCATGCAGATGGCAGCGATGGGCGGTGGGGGCGGCTTCATGGGCGGCGGCGCCAACCCCAGCATGGCCCTCATGATGCAGGGCGCGGCCGCCATGATGATGCAGATGCAGCAGATGCAGCAGGTCGCCGCCATGCAGGCACAGTTGCAGCAGGCCGCGCAGTTTCCGCAGGCGCCACAGGCACTGCAGCAGCCACAGCAGCAACAGCACCAGCAGCAGCAGCAGCAGCAGCAGCAGCAGCAGCAGCAGCAGCAGCAGCAGCAGCAGCAACCCCATCAG